GAGGCTGGGCAAAGCAGGGGCATGTGGTAAGCAACAGACAAAGTAAAGCTGTGAGAAAAGTAAGGAAAGCTTAGGACCAGTTTACAGAAAAGCTGGGAAATGTGGAGTTTCATATTGGGAAACTTAATTTTCATTTAGACATTCTTCTGTAATTTCATAACAACAATGTAACAGTATAATAATAATAATAATACAGAATTTCATTTGTTGCCTTCCAGAAGAAGATGCAATGAAAAGTAATGTAGCGTGTGATCACTTTAATGTTAACATCGCTTCCATTTGACAAGGCCAAGTGCAAGGATCTGCACCTGAGTAGGGGCAATCCCAAGCACAAATACAGGCGGGGTGGAGAATGGCTGGAGAGCAGTCCTGAGGAGAAGGACTCGGGGGTGTCGGTCGATGAAAAACTCAACATGAGCTGGCAGTGTGCACTTGCAGCCCAGAAGGCCAACTGCATCCTGGGCTGCATTAAAAGAAGCTTGGCAAGCAGGGCCGGGGAGGTGATTCTGCCCCTCTGCTCTGATCTGGTGAGACCCCACCTGGAGTACTGCATCCAGGTCTGGGGCTTCCAATATAAGAAGGACATGGAGATGTTGGAGCAGGTCCAGAGGATGGCCACAACGATGATCAGAGGCTGGAGCATGTCCCCTATGAAGACAGGCTGAGAGAGTTGCGGCTGTTCAGCCTGGAGAAGAGAAGGCTCCAGGAAGACCTCATTGCAGTCTTCCAGTTCCTGAAGGGGTCCTACAGGAAAGCTGGGGAGGGACTTTTTACAAGGGCTGGTAGTGACAGGATGAGGGGGAATGGCTTTAAACTGGAAGAGAGCAGATTTAGACTGGATATTAGGGTGAAATTCTTGACTGTGAGGGTGGTGAGACACTGGCACAGGTTGCCCAGGGAAGCTGTGGATGCCCCCCCCCTGGGAAGGTTGGATGGGGCCTTGAGCAGCCTGGGCTGGTGGGAGGTGTCCCTGCCCATGGCAGGGGGTTGAACCAGATAAGCTTTAAGGTCCCTTCCAACCCAAACCATCCTGTGATTTATTAAAAAAAAAGAAAAAAAAAATGAAGGACTCTGGCTATGTGAGTTTTAGGTTTTTTTATTGTATTTAATTAGTCAGTGGCAGATCAGGAGCAGTTACTTGACTCAGGCCCATTCTGGGTCATGAACTGGTCAGTATTTTGCCAGATTATTGAGAGGGGAAAAATAATTAATAAGCTAATTAACTGTGGATCATCCAAATCTAGTAATTTCAAATAATTGGTAAGATAAGATGAGGAAGGAACATAAAGCTAATGTATTTTGCTGGTAGGTGAATAAAAGCAATTTGCTGCACAGCATTTTGCGAAAAACAGCTTTGTGGTGTGTGGGAGGGTAAGGCTTGTGTAGACTTGTTTATAAACAAGGATAACTTGACTTCAGGGAGAGATTCTGGGCAAAGCAGGCAATTATAAAAGATTAGGAAAATAGGGCATGCAGTGAAACATTTGCAGCAAGAGAGAGCTGCAGGATTTTTGCTGAGGGGACATTTCCAGAAGGCTCAGGGCCTGGGCATCCCTAGCAAGTAAAAACAGAATAAAAGAGCCGCATAGGTTAAAATGACCAAGCACTTGGGTACTGAACCAAGTTACAAAATCATTTTCACTGGTGAGAGCAGATGTGGACCATGAAAGGTGGCTTGGGCATGGTGCTGGATCCTCTTCTGACTCATCTGTGTGGTTCTGGCTGATGCTGAGTAGACCTGTTGACTTGGTGCAGGTCCCAGGGATAATGCTGCCCTCAGACGGTTGATGTTAGAGCTATCAGGGTAGGTCTGTGCTAGCCCATGGGCTACTGCAGTGTTACTGTGTTCCCTGTGAATGGTCTGTGGCCAAGTAAGTTTTGCACAAATACAGGGGCCTGCAGGAGTGTGTCTGGAGGATTGGAAAAATGCAGCTTTCCTAATCAGAGGAGCTAATTTTTTATACATACATCTATGTATAAAAGTGTGTGTGTGTATCATAGAATCACAGAACCGTTTGGGTTGGAAGGCACCTTAAAGATCATCTGGTCCAGCCCCCCTGCCATGGGCAGGGACACCTCCCACCAGACCAGGCTGCCCAAAGCCCTGTCCAACCTGGTTGAACACTTCCAGGGAGGCAGCATCCACAACTTCCCTGGGCAACCTGTGCCAGTGTCTCACCACCCTCACAGTAAAGAATTTCTTCCTAATATTCAGTCTAAATCTACCCTCTTCCAGTTTAAAGCCATTCCCCCTCATCCTGTCACTACCAGCCCTTGTAAAAAGTCCCTCCCCAGCTTTCCTGTAAGCTATCTTCAGAAACCTGAAGGCAGCAGTAAGGTCTCCCAGAGCCATTTTCCTTGTTGCAACCTCTGGCTGCCTCCTTCCAGGGAGGAGGCATCCACAACTTCCCTGGGCAACCTGTGCCAGTGTCTCACCACATATATATAGTAAAATTATATATATTAAATTATAATTACATATTAATTGTGTGTAATAACTAATACACTAACTATAATTAATATATAATAGTTACATACAAAAATGCCTTGGATGCAGATTCTTTTAATGTAACACCTTTCTGCTGTGACCTAGCAGCTCCTATCCAGGAAGAAAGCCGCTGCTCCGTTACTGTCATTTGCATAAATTCGTTAATCGCTTCTCTGCTTGTTTGGCAGCGGCGCTGGGCTGAACACTGCAGGGTACCAGGGCACATGGGAGCTGCTGCTGCTCCATGAGAAGCAGCGGGAGGCTGCCCCAGATAGATGAATGGTTCCTTTTTCCTTTCTGTCCCGCAGTACAATCTAACAAACTTGAATGAGATTTCAATTTACGCCAAGGTTTCCCAGCTGCTTGCTGCTTCACTAGTTCAAGGGCTGATGTATCCAAGTTGTCTGGCTGTTAACTTTTTACTTGCCAGTAAAGCTGGGTGGGTATCCAGTTGCGTTCTCACCGAGATCCTGACATTTACTTTGCTGTGCAAATTAAAAATAGCAGCTGCTGTTGATTTCGGTACATGGGATGATTGCAGCAGACAAGAGAGCATGTGGGCTGCTGCCCTTCCTCCTCAGGGCACTTGCCAGTGGCAGCTTGAAGAACTTGTAAGTACTCACATGTCTCAGGAGCACAAAAAAGCAAAAAAAAAAAATCTATTTTCTGAATGTACGAGAGGAGGAGGAAGGGCAGGAAGAGGGCTTCATCTGTTATTTGAAATGTGATTCCTTGGTTTTTTTCACCTACATTAAAGCAGCATTTTAGAAAAGGTTCACTCAGCCAGTCAGTGCTACTTTACCTGCATTCCAGTTCACAAATGAGCACAGCACCGACACAAAATACAGGGAAAGA